CACTTTGCATAAAACACTTGAGCCAGCAAGTCGCGAAAATCACATTTAAATTGCAACAAATCGTAATTTTTGGGCCGCTTGCGAATGTTGATCTAAAAACAGGCGTTTTCAGGCAACTGCACGCTCTCAAAAAAAATCTCAACTTATACTCCAGAACCCGCAACAAATTGAAATTTTCACACTCTACAGAAAAGACTTGAGACTGCAAACCCTGAAATTTACATTGAAATCGCAACAAATCTTAATACATATGTGCGCCCTTTGCGAAAGTTGGTTTAAAACAAGTGTTTTCACGCAACTGCACTCTCTTGAGTGAAAATTCCTAACTTCTTATCCAGAGCAGGTAAAAACTTGAAACATTCGCTGTATATAGAAACCAATTGAGCCAACTCAGAAAGTTACATTGAAATCAGAAGAAATCGCAATGTTAGCGCCTTTGTTCGCAATTCCCAACATTCGTATTGGCTAAAAACAAGTGTTTTCACGCAACTGCATGCTCTCGAATAAAAATTCCTAACTTCTGATCCAGAACACACAGCAACTTGACAGTTTTACAATCCATAAAAAACACTTGAGCCTTAAATCCGAGACAATTATATTGCAATTCCAATAATTCCTCATTTTTGCACCCTTTGCCAATCTTGGTCTAAAACAAGTGTTTCAAGCAACTGCACTCTCTTGAATAAAAATTCCTAACTTCTGATCCAGAACACGCAGCAACTTGAAACTTTTACAATCCATTGAAAACACTTGAGCCTGCAAACCGAGACAATTATATTTCAACCGCAATAATTCCTCATTTTTGCGCCCGTTGCTAATCTTGGTCTAAAACAAGTGTTTTCACGCAACTGCACTCTGTTGAGTAAAAATTCCCAACTTCTTATCCAGAGCAGGTAAAAACTTAAAACATTCGCTGTATATAGAAACCAATTGAGCCAACTCAGAAAATTACATTGAAATCAGAAGAAATCGTAATGTTAGCGCCCTTTGTTCGCAATTCCCAACATTCGTGTTGGCTAAAAACAAGTGTTTTCACGCAACTGCATGCTCTCGAATAAAAATTACTAACTTCTGATCCAGAACACGCAGCAACTTGAAACTTTTACAATCCATAAGAAACACTTGGGCCTGCAATCCGAGTCAATTATATTGCAATTCCAATAATTCCTCATTTTTGCGCCCTTTGCCAATCTTGGTCTAAAACAAGTGTATCAAGCAACTGCACTCTCTTGAGTAAAAATTCCTAACTTCTGATCCAGAATACGCAGCAACTTGAAACTTTTACAATCCATAGAAAACACTTGGGCCTGCAAACCGAGCCAATTATATTGCAACCGCAATAAGTCCTCGTTTTTGCGCCCGCTGCTAATCTTCGTCTAAAACAAGTGTTTTCACGCAACTGCACTCTCTTGAGTAAAAATGTCTAACTTCTGACCCAGAACACGCAGGAACTTGAAGCTTTCACAGTTTGCAGGAAAGAGTTGGGTCTGAGACCACGGAAAATTGCAGTAGATCTCGATATTTGCGCCCTTTACAAATGTTGGTCTAAAAACGAACGAGCGAGTGGCAACGGAAACTTTCACAGCTTATAGCAAACATGTCAGTTTTTGTCTCTACATAGACTATTTCTGCGCCATTAAACTTATTTTTCAAGGAACAGCTTTAGAATGCAACTTTTTTGCTACATATATGCAAATAAATCTTCTCTCTCCACTGAAGAGAACCAAATTATTCCAGCCTAACCTGGTACAAATTAAAACACTGATTCCGAAGAAAACCCTCTTCCAGTCCAGTCTGCCGGTCGATTTCACAACCATACACTTCCGCTTAACGTCCCCATTAAAAATCCCGCAGGTAAGCGCGATAAATCCAGAAAATATGACATGATGAAACAGTTTGCAACGCTCAAACAAACGGCGCCGACCACATTGGGGGCGATGGCTGTGGGGGGAACATAAAACGGAATAGTGATTTTGATCAATTCCATTGAAAAATTAGCGTGTCTTTTGCCAGAAGATAAATGAGGCCGGGTTTTAATGCCGCCTGGATAAACGGGCTTCCAGCACGAAACAGCGTCCCATCCGGCCCGCGTTTAATCGACAACAATCAATTAAAATCCTGGTTCATTCATTATGGCGTAACATTATTTAATATGGTACCATCAAGGTCGTAGGAAGTGAATTCGCCTAAATCGGTCACTGCTCTTTGCGGCTGACTCATTTCTCCATTGTTTGACACACATATTTAGACACTTTTTATGTTAGTTTGGTTCATTTACATATCGAAAACGGCCGATTGGTTCCAGAATGGAACCTATTGATTGTTTCAAATTCGGTTTCACTGTGTATGGGCACCATTTTTTAGGTCACTCTACCACTCAATGAAGCATTATTTTATTTTCCATACGAAGACGAGACGAACCCTTGGAGGTTCGTGCATGAATAAAGGCGACGTGAATGAACATGTCCCGATTGCGTAACTCCACATTCTCCGGTCGGGAGAGTGAGAAACACATGTCTTTCGTAATTGCTTCCATGAACGATTTGCATTTAATCTCGCCGATCGCGGGTGGGAGAAAAGTAACTCGACCGCGAAAATTCGCTTTTAGATCCGGCACGAATCATGCATTTCATCAGCAAGAGAAAAAATCACCCTGCCAAATCATTGATTACTGAATGGATATGGACATGGTCAAACATGTACGAAAACGTCCAACAATGGAGATGAACTGATCGGCTTCGACAATGCTTGAACGGTCTTGTCCAATGATGGGTGTTAATCACCAGACTGACCGTTTATTTATACAGATGCGTTGTATAGTAACAATTCAATTTGCGGTAAAAAATAGACGATTTGACATTGAACGGGCATTTTCAGTGCCCCACGTGACTCCCACGCCACGTGATTTCGGTAGGAGGCTGTGAACACACCATTTTGTCCTCTGAATTGCCTTTGCACACTAACAAGGAGCCTATTCTATGTCAGCCCATTGTTTCCAGCCTATCAACTCAAGACTAGTTCACAAAAGTGAATTAAATGCTTCGTAATCAATCGATTCATCTGCGCTACCAGTTGGTGTTGGTGGTGGCCTACAAGGCTGCCTGATTTAAACCCCTCTGATTTTTTTTCAATTTTAACAATCGTTATAAAATGAGGGCGTTGGATTTAGAGCCATTAAATAGAGAAGATTTTGCTTTATATGTCCTGTAAATGGCATTTTAGTACTCGTTTTGTGTAATTTATAACAAATTTCTAATTGGGACTTGCTCCTAAATCCCGCACTCTAAATATGGGTTTTTCCATTGCAACCAAAAGTCAAAATGTAGAGCAGACACAAAGTTGCATTTAAAGCCGTGTTTTTTATATCCTGCAAATTGCGTTTTAGTGCTGCTTTGCTTTGTGACGAATTTTTTAAAGACACTCCAAATATTGAATGTTTCTTTTGCAAACCATTTTTCAAAAAAATCAAAAATGTAAATGAGACGCTCAATTGGCCTTACTTCCACTAGATGGAGAAAGCGTTGTTCTATTTATCCTGAAAATTGCATTTCAGTACTCGTTTTCCGCAATTGTAACAAATTTTTAAATTAAACTTTACATATTCAATTGCTTTGTTGCACCCTACTTTTCAAAAAATCGGAAGTTAGAATGCGGATCAGACAGAAACTTGAATTTAAAGCCATCAGATATAAAAAGCTTTGCTCTGTATATCCTGCAAATGGCATTTTAGTGCTCCTTGTTCTATGTTTCCTGAAAATGGCATTTTGGTGCTCGCTTTCTGTAATTTGAAACGAATTTTTAAAAGAGACTGCAAATATTGGACAATTTTTAGAAGCGAGGCCAGACATTAATGTTTTTCTATTGCATACCAAATTTGAAAAATCCAAAACAATTTATTGGCCCATTAAATAGAGAAAACATTGCTCTATTGCTCCTGCCAATGTCACTATCGAGCCAGTTTCCCGAAATTATTGACGATTTTTTAAAAGGCCTTTCTTGAACTGCAGGCCATTTCTTTAAAAATCCATAGCAAAAATCTATTCTCGACCCACTGAATAGAGAAAGGCTTCCCAACACGTCCTCTTTTGGCCATTCGATTTTTTTGAAAATAACGAATTTACCGAAGCTTCAAAGTTGCATAATCGCAGAGCTGCGGATTGCAACCGATAAGACCAAACACACACAAAAAAAATGTGAAAGAACCGAAACAATTCCCATCGACGATTCAAATGAATTTTAAGCAGAGAAAGTCGCAACAACAACAACGATGCCGTTGCTAATTGCTGCTGCAAATTTAAATTATGGAAACTTGGGAAGCCGGCTGAGTAGAACTAGAAATGATCTCTCACATTAATTGCCTCATTAATGACGTTGTAAAATCCGATAGAATTTTCAATTGAAGGATATGAAGCGGTAGAGGGCAATTTAACGATCACAAAAACCAGTTCGGAACTGATGAACAAGTGTTTAATGCAGATGGAGCAATTACAGAACGACGTGTTGTTGTTGTTGGTCGCCCAGCAGTCTGGCCTGGACATTTCCCAGCAATGTTGCTACGTTCACTCTTTATCCACCCTACTGGCCAGATTTAGTGCTCTTTCTCAACTGCATGTGCATCAGCAGGAATGCACACCTGTTGCAAACGTCGCTTTGCTGTTGATAATTTGAAATTACGCCATTGCGACAGAATTATTATAAAATCGCCACTGCCGGTGCCTTTGATACGGTCTCTCAAACCAAACCACCCATGAATTCAGTTAACGTCGCTTTCTGTTTGTGTTGTTAATCAATTTGAGTGCCGTTTTTTTTCAGCTCGATTTCATTACTGACGAGCTGAGCCTGAGCCGAGCCTAAGCCGCGGCAAATTTCCTTTCATGTTTTCCACTGCCAGAAAATCGATTGTCTGCCGGTGTTTTGACTAAATATCAAAGGTATTTGGCGGTTCAGGCTCGGCTCGGGCTCGGCTCGTTAGGTCTGGGCGCGAAATTACAGTGACTTACCTGAGAATCTGGCCAGGAAACGATAAAAGGGGGTTGCAAGGGGGGCGAGGAGGCAGCGCGGGAACACCAAGTCCCGTCTGCCCTCCCAGGGCAGGCTGCCCATCACGTGCGCCTCTGGAAAACAAAACAACAACAATTAGGACAAAGAAAACGCTAAATATACAGATCGAACGAGAAAAATCAACACACGCAAAGACCAGAGAAGGAAATATTTTCGCAACAAATTGAGCTGCAACATAATGCGAAAATGATTTAAAAAAATGAATAGGTTTACACTAGGAATTACTGAATATTTGCAGTCGGAAGGCAAAGCTCGCGTGTTTAAGAAAAAAATCAAGTGCATTAAACTTTGCAAGACATAAATGGATAAAGTATGGGAACTGAAGCGTTTAGGCTTAAACAAAGTTACGTGCGAACTGGCCAAGATCCACTGGCGATAACTTTTTTTCGAGATTTGCATTAATGGGCGTTCTTTCGTTCTAACGAGAAATGGTTTTCGATTAAAACGGGGCTCGGAGAATTCTAATAACCGTTTTCGCTGGTTAATCCATCGATAAATCAGCCAGTGTCGGTTTATGCCGACGACACTCAAAACAGCGTTTCAGGGATGTTTTTAGGTAAGTCGGAACCGCGCGGGAAAAGTATGGAAATTTATAAAAAAATGCCCATGTGGCCTCATGCATCAAAATTCCGCCCATATTGCACCTAAAGTCTTCTTTATCCAGTGCTGATATCGGTATGCTGGTATATCCAACTTGGTTGTCGAGAAATGACTGTTAGAAACTGACATTGCGAAAACCGGCCAAGTCAAAGAAATTCAACCAAAGTTTGAGAATTTATTGCAACGCTCCCATTTGCCCGAATCCATCCAAATTTGGCCAGTATTTTACCAAAAGCTTGCTTTATCGATTCCTGATATCAGCATTCCGATGTCTGATCTAGTTGTCGAGGAATGACCATTAGCAACCGACATTGCTATAGCGGCCAAGTCCAAGAATATTAACCAAAGTTTAAGAATGTATTTTAACTCTCCCAATTGCCGGAATCTATTGAAATTCCACCAGAATTTTACCAGAAGCTTTCTTTATCGAGTGCTCGTATCATCATTCCCATGTCTGATCTGGTTGTCGAGAAATGACTGTCAGAAACTGACATTGCGAAAACGGCCAAGTCAAATAAATTCAACCAAAGTTTGAGAATTTATTGCAACGCTCCCATTTGCCCGAATCCATCCAAATTTCGCCAGTATTTTACCAAAAGCTTGCTTTATCGATTCCTGATATCAGCATTCCGATGTCTGATCTGGTTGTCGAGGAATGACCATTAGCAACCGACATTGCTATAGCGGCCAAGTCCAAGAATATTAACCAAAGTTTAAGAATGTATTTTAACTCTCCCAATTGCCGGAATCTATTGAAATTCCACCAGAATTTTACCAGAAGCTTTCTTTATGTAGTGCTCGTATCATCATTCCGATGTCTGATCTGGTTGTCGAGAAATGACTGTCAGAAACTGACATTGCAAACGCGGCCAAGTCAAAGAAAACTAACCAAAGTTTCACAATTTACTACAACTCTCCCATTTGCACGAAAACATCCAAATTCAGCCGGCATTTCACATAAAGCTTCGTTTATCGACGACTGAGCTCGCCATAAAAAGCTCTGGTCTGGTTGCCAAAAAATGGCAGTCGGAAACTGATGTTGCAAAAACGGCCAACTCTAAGAAAACGAACCAAACTTTGGAAAATAATGACAACTCCCCTAGCGGGCCGAATGCATCCAAAGTCAGCCAATACTTAAAGCAAAGTTTCCTTTATTGAGCATCGATATCGAAATTCTCCTACCTGGTCAGGTTGCATTGAAAAATGGCTATGAGAAGCTGCCAGAGAAAATGACCAGGTCAAATCTCCCACATGACCGAATACACCCAAATTCGCCCTCAATCCTGTAGGGACTCTTGAGGAAGAACCAACTCCACATCGAACAACTCAACTCCTATTTCTCTGCCTCAAAAGCGCCAATAGAATCCAATCCAAATATAGCCACTGTGTCAAATCTGGATTGTCCGGTGGCCCTGGGCGCTTTCTTTCGCTAAAAATACGAACGAGGAGAAAGCCATTTTCCCATCGCCCAAATCCTAACCATAATTGCGATTGTTTTAGCATTTCAGGTGGTTAGCAGGATCGCTGTTTCAACCGCAAAGGTGTGCAGGCGCCGGATTACCGCAGCGGAATTTTTATTGTCGTTGTGGGCGACAATTTTCGTTGTTAATGTTTGCTTTTGCCATGACGAAACGCGATTCTGTGCCGAATCATCTGGCTGGGATCTTAACATCGTTCACTCCTCATCCCTTCTCGGGGTAAAACAGGGTAATTTATCATGGCAAATGCAATTTGGTGACTCAATCTAACGATGCACACCCTCGCATGCATGTAAGAATGAGATTAGAGTATCCACTAGGGGGTTGGATTTCGATGAGAGATGCTGTTGAACCTTGACCGATGCCACATATTTTTAGTGGTAAAAGACTGGAGGCTGACAATGAAAATGTGGTCAAAAGAGCCGAATGGTACTGGGCAGTGCCCATGATGGGCGCCATGGTCCGAAAGGTGCGTTGGGCCAAGGCTATGGGAAAACGATTACTGGTCGGCAGGTTCAAACACACTCGTACTACACACGAAACCGGTGCACCTCGTCGGAGTACCACTCTTGGTACCACTTCATAACCAGAGTGCGGTTTGCGCATTAACGTACAGGGCGGTCACACTCCAAAGGCGACAACAACAGAAGGAAAAACTAAAGCGTCGGCTCCCGGTAAAAGCGGAACAGCAACCGATTATTCATGTTTTCACGATGAAAACTAACAGTTTACGGAGACGGATTTCGCGTACTTACATATACGCTTCATAAACAAATTTATTGCGCGTAAGATAATAGAGGTTAAATATTGTTTTTTGCATGCGCGAAGGATAAAATACAGTTTCAGACCGACAGAACTTCTCTCCCGTACAGCATTTATTTAATTATTTTCCAACGGTGTTTCGCTTTAATTACCGGCGAATATATGATCGACTTAAACGGCATTAATTGCCCTGTTTCTCCACGCAAACACCGGCATTACCAACCAAAACACGACTGTATTTGTTTCGCCATACTTGAAGCAACTGCCATTAGGCCTTTAAATTCAATTAACATCCAGGCATGCCAATGAATTTAATATTGCTTTTCGATTAGCGCCTTTATCAACGAAACAAACCGACTCATTGTCGGCGACTATTTCAACACGATTCTCACATTCTAGAGAATGCATCCAAATTCTACCAGTACGCAACAACGAATGTTGAAATGCGCTAATTAATAAAATAGATTCGTTAGTTGTCCAGAAACTGACATCGCAAAAATCACCCAGCACTTGAGCCAAACGTTCAGTCATCTCACTGCGCAAACGATACAGCCGTAAATGCATCAGGCAAAATGTCTGAGCAGCAAACACGCGGTTAACGTCGTGCAATGCTCCAATTAGTCGAAGAAATCCTAATTGGAGTTCAGTTTGTTAACTTGATTAATTAATAAAAGTGCGATTGCATCATTAGACAGTGTGTTGGCAATAGACATGGCATTGGAATATTGGACGAAAATGAACGAAATTCAGGTGCGACTTGGTGTCAACGCGATTGTGATGGGAATGGAAAATTTGCGTCATTTAGTAGATTACCAATGGGTGTTGTATTGTAGTGTCAAGGATCGTGTACAGAGTGTGTTCTGAATGTTGCCAATATCCGCACAATTGCCAGAAACAAGCCCATTCTAGCTGAACAGATCCTACCAGGAGACCTAGTTGTTGCTGAAGCAGACCAAAACGCGTCAGATTGGAGCTAAATTTTAAGACTGAAGCGTTGCCTGTATCGTGGAAAAGTTTAAATCTAGTCCTTAATGTCTAATTAAGGTCGTAAGTCTAATTAATCTAGTAATTAAATGCCAATTTTAGAAACACTGACATGCAGAACAACAAAAAATTATTGAAGGAAAATTTTCAACAATTTGTCAAAAATCAGGAAGCTGTTGGTTCGGAATGAAACTTTCAGAATTGGCACATTGAAGTGCCTTCTGAAACGTGGGAAAGTTTCAAGGCTTCACCTCGTCTAGCAATTAAGTGAGAATTTTGGCAATACTGACATTCAGAACTAAAAAAAAACGAGCTTTAGGAGCAAATTTCAAGAATTTTTTAAAAATCGGGAAGTTCATGGATCGGAATGAAATTTTCAGAATTTGCACACAGAAGTGTCTTCTATAACGTGGGAAAGTTTGAAGGATCCACCTAGCCTAGTAATTAAGAGACTATTTTGGCAACACTGACATGCAGAACGACAAAAAATTGCCCTTCAAAAGCAAATTTCAACAAATTATCAAAAATCAGGAAGCTATTGGATCGGAATGAAATTTTCAGGATTTATACACTCAAGCGTTTTCTGTATCGTGGAATAATTTCAAGACTTCACCTCGTCTGGCAATTAAGTGACAATTTTGGAAACACCGACATGCAGATGGAAAAAAGCTTCAGGAGCAAAATTCAAGAATTTACCAAAACTCAGGCAGCTCATGGATCGGAATGAAATTTTCAGGATTTGCAGACGAAAGTGTGTTCTGTAACATGAGAAAGTTTCAAGAATCCACCGCCTCTAGTAAATAGGTGACAATTTTGAAAAACCAACTAGTGGAAAGAAAAAAAAAGGACTTCAGGAGTAAGTTTCGTCAATTTTTGAAAGACCAGGCAGCTGTTGGTTCAGAATGAAATTTTCATAATTTTCACACTGAAGTATCTTCTGTAACGTGGGAAAGTTTGAAGAATCCACCTGGTCTTGTAATTAAGTGACGACGTTGGAAACACTGAGATGCAAAACGAAAAAGAATTGAGTTTCCAGAGCAAATTTCAACAATTTGTCAAAAATCAGGCAGCTCTTCGATCGCAATGAATTTTTTAGGAGGTGCAGACTGAAGTATTTTCTGTAACGTGAGGAAATTCAGGAACCCCTTTTTCTAAAAATGAAATGACTGTGTGGGAAAAACAAACTTGCAGAACCAAAAAAATGGGATTTATGAACAATTTTCAAAACATTTTTCCAAATTAGCCAGCGGTGAGATCGGAATAACATTTTCAGGATTTGCAGACACAAGTGTTTTCTGTATTGTGAAAAAGTTTCAAGGCTTCACCTCGTCTGGTAATTACGTAACAATTTTGGAAACACTGACATGCAGAACGAAAAAGAATTGAGTTTCAAGAGCAAATTTCAACAATTTGTCAAAAATCAGGCAGCTCTTCGATCGCAATGAAATTTTTAGGAATTGCAGGATGAAGTATTTTCTGTAACGTGAGAGAGTTTCAGGAGTCTACCTCCTCTGGTAACCAAGTGACAATTTTTGAAAAACCAACTGTGAAAACGAAAAAAAAAATAGGACTTCAGGAGCAAATTTTATCAAATTTTTAAAATTCAGACAGCTGTTGGTTCGGAAGGAAATTTTCAGAATTTGCACACTGAAGTGTCTTCTGCAACGTGGGAAAGTTTGAAGAATCCACCCGGTCTAGTAATTAAGTGACGATGTTGGAAACACTGACATGTTGAACGAAAAGAAAATTGAACTTCAACAGCAATTTTCCACAATTTATAAAAAGTCAGGCAGCTCTTCGATCGCAATGAAATTTTCAGGATTTGCAGACACAAGTGTTTTATGTATTGTGGAAAAGTTTCAAGAATTCACCTCGTCTAGCAATTAAGTGACAATTTTGTAAACACTGACATACAGAACGAAAAAGAATTGAGTTTCAAGAGCAAATTTCAACAATTTGTCAAAAATCAGGCAGCTCTTCGATCGCAATGAAATTTTTAGGAATTGCAGGATGAAGTATTTTCTGTAACGTGAAAAAGTTTCAGGAGTCTACCTCCTCTAGTAACCAAGTGACAATTTTTGAAAAACCAACTATGAGAACGAAAAAAAAATAGGACATCAGGAGCAAATTTCATGAAATTTTGAAAATTCAGACAGCTGTTGGTTCGGAAGGAAATTTTCAGAATTTGCACACTGAAGTGTCTTCTGGGACGTGGGAAAGTTTGAAGAATCCACCCGGTCTAGTCTAATTAAGTGACGATGTTGGAAACACTGACATGTAGAACGAAAATAAAATTGAAATTCAAGAGCAATTTTCCACAATTTATAAAAAATCAGGCAGCTCTTCGATCGCAATGAAATTTTCAGGAATTGCAGACTGAAATATTTTCTGTAACGTGAGGAAGTTCAGAAACCCCCTTGTCTAAAAATTAAATGACTGTTTGGGAAAAACAAACTTGCAGAACCAAAAAAAAATGGGATTTATGAACAATTTTTCCCAAATTAGCCAGCTGTGAGATCGGAATATAATATAATGTTCAGGTCTTGCAGATTAAAGTGTCTTCTGTATCGTGGGAAGTTTTTAAGGATTTAAGAAAAATTTGGATTTTTAAGCCACCTTTGTGATTGTTTAAAATCAAACAAGCCTTGTATTAGCATGAAGTTTACCTCACACTCAGACCGAGGGTCAGCTTTAGCAGAATTTGAAAAATCAAGGCATTTTGCATTCAAGTACGGCCGTGACAAAGTTGCGAACGCAGGCACATTAGTATTAAAATTTCCCACCATGCTTAATGTCCATTTAAACCCAAAGTGCTGTGTTCTAAACTGCGAAATTTTTTTCCTTTAATTTTTTTTACTTGAAATAGTCAAAAAACAATGAAATTTTCAGTTGTTTGAGCCACTTGCTGACATTAATTGGTTGCATAATCTGGGGCAGTGTTAATGATCAACTGGAGAACGTAATAATATGCTTATGTGTATTTTTAAACCGTGACAGCAAATAAAACAAACAAAATCGAAACCCAAAAACAAAATACCGACAGCAGCATTGAGCGGCAAGAATGCGCTCCTCTACTACGGGCATTATGATTAAAAGAACACACACACAAACTTTAAAACACACTCAACTCAACTCAACTGACCACCCACACATAATATAAGAGAGCGACTACATACGTGGTCCAAAAGGCTTTAAGTATTCCTTTTCTCTGGGCATCGCGGCTGAATTACGTCAAATTCCTGCATCGTTTGCCGAAATCCTTCGGGCTGGAATCACAATTCGTCCTGGCACAAGTTCGCCACCCAAACATCGTCACCACGAACCCGAAAAGTCAGGGCGAATCCCATCAATTTCAAAGTTTCGGACAAATCACAGGAACCTAGATCGGGTTGTCGGGTCGGACGCCGTCTTTGCACTCACTCTCAAGTTTTTTGGTGGTCGATTCGTTCTCGGACAAATTTGTTTGGGAAAAAACCGTGAGCAAGGGAAACAGTTCTCGATCTATTCGTTGACCGACTAAGGAGGAGATCCTCGCACATCCAACTACTCAAACGGCTGCCTCACGACTAATATGAGGGCGAGCGGGCCCGAAGCGGTCCGAACACCTGAGAATTACCTGTTCCAACTGAGCGAGAGATGTGGGGCGGAGGGGGGCAGAGACATTATTAGGCTTTAGTGCCGATTAGTATTGTTATTCTGGATGATATTGGGTTTTTTTCCCAAAGGGGGGATTTGCGGACTCAGTCGACTGTGTTATTTGACTCTCGAGGAATGGGGGCGATTCGAATCAATACCACCACTTTCTCAATGTTTTCCTTCGAAGAGCACGGACACTTCAAATGAAAGATGCACTCAGCAGAACAAAGAGTCGAGGAACGGGAAAGTGGGACAAAGTCAGCCAAAATTTCCCCGCATTGAAATAGAGCAGCCACAAATTTTTACTTAAATCGGACATTCAGCTCATTTTTGAACATGGCTAACCATTGCTTTATATTCCGTTATTTCGTACTTTATTCAACAAATTGTCCTCGCAAAACTGGAGCAGCCAGAGGGCCAAAACTTTGGAAATCCATAGAAAAGCTTCCTTATTAAATTCTGAAAATTTTTACTTGCATCGAACATTCGGTTCATTTTTACAAACATTTCAAACAGGTATCTACCGGACGCCTTATAATGCGTTGTGTGGTGCGATTTTCAAAAAAATCCCACGCAAAACTAGAGCAGCCACGGGACTGAAACTTTGGCAATCTAGAGGAAAAGCTTCAAAATTCAATCCTAGAAAATGTATTTAAAATCATATATTCGATCCATTTTTGAATAAATTTAAAAGATGGCTCTAATAGTTACTGTATGCATTATGTAGTGCCTTTTTCAAAAAAATTCCCACGTAAAACTAGAGCATTTACAGGACTGAAACTTTCGAAACGTAGAGCAAAAGCTTCAAAAGTGAATCCTAGAAACTTTATTTAAAATCATATATTTGTTCCATTTGTGAATAAATTTCAAAGATGGCTCTCAATTACTGTATGCGTTTGTAGTTCCTTTTTCAAAAAATGTCCCACTTAAAACTAGAGCATTCACAGGACTGAAACTTTCGAAACGTAGAGCAAAAGCTTCAACATTCAATCCTGGAAATGTTAGTTCAAATCGGGCATTTGTATCATTTTTCAAAAAAAATCAAATAGAAGTAGAACAGCCACAAGACCAAAACATGCATCTAACTGTTGCTTCATACAGAGTTGGGTTGTACCTTTTCCAAAAATTAACCAGCTCAAAACTAGAGTAGCTCGAGCGCTGAAATTTTGGAAATTATAAAAACGACACCAATTTTAAATCTGAGAAAATTTAAATAAAATGCAACTTTCGGTTCAGTTAACAAAAAATCTCAAACATGATTCTGGTTCTAGAGCTATGTAGCGTTTAAAAAAGATTCCTGGTACAAAAGTAGAGCAGTTAGAAGTGGGAAATTTTTTAAATCTAGAGAAAATACATCAGTTTTTAGTGTTGAAAAATCTGAATAAAATTAAACTTTTGGTTCATTTGCAAAAAAGTCTCCAATGCGGATCTCACAGTTATTTAAGAGTGATGTAGGGCGTTTTTCATAAATAGACCAGCACAAAACTGATAAAAGCCCTCAAATTTAAAGCGAATACAATAGTGATTGATTGAATTCGTTAAAATGTCATCAATATTGGAATTTGTGTCGATTTTGGAAAAAAATCTTTGCCCAACAATCGCTTTAAGTTGCATAATAGACTTTTTTCCCAAAATTTCCCAGCACTAAACTAGACCAGCTAGAGACCCAAAACTTTCCAAATTTAGAGACAACATATATTTATCTCTGAAAATTTGACCAAAATTATGCCTTTCAAGGTTCTTAAAAATCTTCCAACTGAGTGTGCAAGCTTTTTTCAAAAATTCCTCAGCCCCAAAGGAGGGCAGTTAAAGTGCCGAAATTTGAAACTTTTCTAGAAAAATCTTGAAAAAAAAACGAAGAATGGTAAATTTTTTGGGTAAACGTGTCGCTTTAACTTCAATTTTGTAAAATTTCCCCGAACAAAACTAGAGCAACAACACGGCTAAATCTGCGAAATTTTACGGGAAAAGTGAAAAATTGTGGCAGATTCAAGGAATGTGAATATATGGAATTTCAAAAGAAAAGAGCGCTGATTTCTGGGACATTCCCACATAGATCTGACAAAAAAGCTTCAACAAAATCCAACAAATTGGCAAATAATCCTTCCGCTGCGAGCCTAATGATAAACCAACACGGACCATTAGAGCCTCCGCTTAGAGGTGCAGATTAACTCTTTTTGACACTTTACTTGAGGCACCCAAATCCGCCAAGAAAAACATCCAGCAGCGAGGGGCATTCCGGAGTGTGTGAATATTTTCGTTGGGCATCGTGGGCTTGTCGGTACGGTTTAAATCGATGTCAAAGAATCCCTTTGAATGATCCATCGGCCATGAAAGGAGACAAAAACGCCACGGGCAACCTCCAGTTTGCTAATTGTTCCCGTACGGTTCCTAGTACGTTCTTCAACTGTCCGGGGTCGATTCAGAACCGATCTGTTGATTTTGCTGCTCAATGGGAAAATAAATCGCCATTTCAGGTACCCATTCACATGGGAGAATTCCTCAGCGTTTAGTCACTTTTAAATGTTCGACATACAGGTGATTTCCGAGCGAATTTTCCTAATAGCTCCAATAGAATAAGCGTCGCTTACATAATTTTCCTCAGGCCTGAATACATAATTTGTGGGGGTAAATTTGGGGCGAACATTGCCATAAATTTTTATTAGACTTGACCTAGAACACGCAACTAATAAGTTGACAATAGTCAACTTCCACAAACGACTTTAAGCTTTAAAGCACGGACTAATTGTACCATTTATTGTAAAATTTCCTCGCTCGAACTGCTCAGGTTTTGTGTTAGGGAATTTTTTAAAAAACCTTTTACATTTGAGTTTGTTCGACTCAGATTTGAAGAATTTCCGAAAAATCACCGCAAAGCCTAAATTCAGTAAAATTTTGAAAGTTGCGGGATTCTAGCTGCTCTGGTTCTGTTCGCTGCGAGCATACCCCTGAAGATGCAATGCCCTTGTGACGGCGAAACGTTTGAAAAACTTTTTCCACGACAGCCTGAAAGCTTCAAAAAATCATCATCCACATTCCATTGCGTAATCACTTGCAACGAATGGTCGCACATAAAAAATCGCTGGTTTCTAGCGCATCTGCCCTAGCAATTGTTTGCGGTTTATCCAAACTGTGTGCGATAGCGCACAAGGTGGACCGAACCGTATCAGGCACCTGCGCGGCTGCGTTTCGGTCTGGCGACCTGGATCATCATCAGGAATCGTGCCTGTAAGCAGGACGCTTTCCTCTAGCCCCAGAAACGAATAGGAGCAAATTATCTGCCCTTGACGCCTATAGGCGTGGCATTGCACCGGATTTGCGAAAATGAAAGTCGCTAGTCGAGCATTTCGTATCAATTAACTTAAAATGAATCAGACGCATGATTTCATAATTACGGAATTTAGAAGTTAAAAAATTTGAAATTTTTCAAACAACTCGAGCGCTAAAATTTTCGGCATTTAGAGAAACGACCCCAATTTAAAGCCTAGGAAAATTTTAATATGTACACTAAACACTTTCGGTTAATTTAAAAAAAAATCGGAATCCTGAATCTGGTTCGAGAGTTCAACAGCGTTCGGCAGGGCCTTTTTCAAAAATTTCCCAGCGCAAAACTAGAGCAGCTAGAACCCTGTAATTCTGCAAATTTAAAGAAAACAATGCATTTATCAATAATTAAAAATGTGAATAAAATGGGGTCTTGCATTGGTTTTTTGAAAAATATTCAAAGCCGTTTGTGTCTATTTTTACCCCAGAGCTTTTTTCCAGTGCGCCAATGACCGACTCCAGAATTGAAAATCTATTTTCTGTGGTGTTTAGAAACTTTTCATCTCTAGTGATTTTTGCAGATTTGCGACCGTTGCCGATGATTTTGGAGAATACTGAGTGTTAAATATGAAGCGCAAAAGCAAATAAATTAGGTGATTCTTTAGCGTGTTTTTTGACTAAAACTTCCTGTCAGTGATATCAGGGGCGGATCCAGCTTTAAAGTCAAGGGGGGGGCGGGGTTATGTAGAAAAAATACAGTCTTCTTTTATCTATGAAATTAGAAAAATGATCGCCGTGTTCCATGGTCCAAATTTCATGTTTTCCGTCCCGTTTTGCATGATCTCGGAAGCAAAATGAGCAAGAACGCTCGTTTTTACATCATTCCAGAGATAACTAAATGGCCTTTATTCGAAGTTTCTCAAGAACCATTCGAGC